ATATATAACAAAACTAAAAAAATACGTATCGTAGCGCGTCGAGTTATATAAATACGCGTATATAAACTATTTTTTTTATAAAGACGCGTCGTTTATATGACAGCCTGCCTTGTTATTTGCATCAGCTGATTACTTGTCCAGGCCTAGCGCCTGTAACTATGTATATAGACCTTCTTGAGCTCTTCGAGCTTTTTGTTTCCTTTTTTCATTTTGTATTTTAAGGTTAGAATTTATTAGTTCGTTATATTATATAAAGTCCTTCGATTAAGTTATCGTATTATAGCTTATTGTTATTGATTATTATTACAGCTTATAGATTACGGCTTCTTGATTATTGTTAAAAACGGAGTGAGTTACTTATTAAGTGCTCCACGGTCTTTTTATTGCTTATAGATTATTGTTCCTCTTTACGACTTTACCTTTTCTTTAGCTTTTCCGACTTAAAAGAGCTCTTTTCTTAATTTTTTGTACTTCGGTTACAAGACGAACTCTTTTCCTTACTCTTTTTCCTAGCGTTTCCGATACTTAAACGCCCTTTTTATTCTATTATGTCTTCTTACGAAGACGACGGCCTTTCTTTCTTTACGAGAATCGCTTAATTAAAGTCTTTCGTAAAGCAATTACGAATAGCCTTTCGCTAGCGCAAATGCGTCTTTTCGGATCCCGATAAGTTCAATAGTACGGTTTAACGATAAGATACTTAGCTTCTTTTAATTAAAGCTAAGCTTTTCGTCGACGATAAAGCTCTTAGCGGACTTATTGCGCAGTTTTATTACGTTTACTTTAATATAAAACCCGGTCCTTAAGCAATGGTTTTAATTCAATTGGCTTCCGCTTAAGACTCCGGCAATTGAAATTATAATACTCTTTTAGATCAGCTCGCTTTCGTTTACGATAATCTAAATAAAATCTAAAAGGCTAAAGATAAGCTGCTTGCTTATAAGTAAAGTACGGACGCTTTTTATATCTACGTCTTACGTTTCGAACGACTTTTGTACGCTGCTCGTTATTAGATTTAGCTCGACGTTAATAAGATTATTGCGTTCCGCAATAGTTTAAACTTAATTATACGGATCCGTTTAAATAGCTAATTGACTTTTTCAATTACGTATACCGAATACGTGCACGTTATTTAATAGCTTAAACGCTCTTCCGGCTCTTTCGGTCTTTCCGGCTCGTCTTACGGATTCCTTCGATTTTCGGCTTTTCTTTTTCAAAACCGCTTTCGCACGTTAACGAGCCTTCTTCTCGGCGATTTAATAGACTTTTCAGCAATCGATCGCGCTTAATAACTCGAGCAATTGTAGCACGCTAACGAGCTCGGCGCTATAAAGCTTATCGAAGCTCACGAGGTTGATAAAACTTAGCTATTAAAAAACCGATACTTTACTTTCTAATATACTTTTTATAGCATTTTTAATTAGCGCAAAGCTTAGCGTAAATTAAATCGCTATATTCGTTGCGGTGCAATCGATTATTAGATAGCTAGCTATACTCTTTTTTTAGTTAAGCCCTTAATAAAAAAGCGAGTTCTTTAAGACCTTTTCTCGGACCGACTCGTTAAAGAAAATAAAAGTTTAAGCGAGTTTGAATCGGACGAAAAAGAAGAAATTTTAGCGGAATAAAACGCTTTTAAAAGCTACGACGCTGACCTTAACGATTATCGCGATCTATAGCTTCGGCGTATTTTTTTTTTTTTTTTTAGTAATTTTATTCGTAAACTATAGTTCACGATTGAATTTTTTTTTCTTTCTTTTATTAAATACTTTTAAAAAAGCTAAGACAGCTCTTTAAAAGAGTAGTGTAACAGCCTGCTTTATTACTTGCATTAGCTGATCACCTATCTAAGCTTAGCGCTTATAGCTATATATATAAACCTTCTTAAGCTCTTCGAGCTTCCTGTTTCCTCTCCTCACTTTGTATTCTAAGGTCAGAATTCATTAGTTCGTTATAATTTATATAAAAGTGCACGGGCCACTTTTTTTTTTCTTAATTGAGCTATTATTAAGGCTAATAAAGCCGTATATAAAAAACTACGATATGCAACAAAATCAAAAAAATACGTATTGCGGCG